AATGAGAAAACTTTAATATTGTACTAGTCAGACTTTAAACATCATAAAGAAGTCTAAAATTATACTGGGCAGAGTTTAGAACATCATGAGATTTTATAGAATTAATTTATTTAAAAAAGAAAACGCTAAAATTGTACTAGTCACGCTTTAGAAATCTCTTCTAGATTCTGAATTCGCGCGAAGGCAGACTGAACCGCCCGCAGCACTTTGACCTCAGCAGATCCCTTGTTCTTATTTCCCTCTTTTGGTCAGCATTAGGGTCCGTGCAGCCATATTATTTTGGGAGACAAAGGCTAGAATTTGTCCTGGTTTTGCTGCCCTGATTCCACTCATGCGAATCTGGATATCTCCAAAAATGGGATAACCTTAATGTTCGGAGGGCCTCCTCCTCGCCGCATCCTCTGCAGATGTCGGTGTCACTTATTCTCATGTTCAGTAAGTGCTTCTGTAGATCCCAGTGTCCAGTGATTAGACCTATGACCAAACGCATGGTCTTCCTGAACAGCCTCATAAATAAATCTATTCGTTTAAGGTCAGGGTACATCAGAGCCTCCTTGGCTTGGCGATATCCTGGTGTCCTGTCCCAGTAGTTTAGAAACTTCTTACGTGTTTCCTCTTTTTGAAGCTCTATTAAAGACCTTATTGTTGGGGCAATGAATGGTTCTGGCGATCCCGGAGGTTCGCCTGCAACTGTCCTTGCCAGTTTGTCCACCATGTCATGAAGCTTATTTCCCGAATGACCCTTTGTCCAGCAGATCGTAATCTCATTGCTAGCGGCTGCCTCACAAAGAGAAAACTCTAATATGGTACTAGTCACACTTTAGACATCATAAAGAAGTCTGGAATTATACTGGGCAGAGTTTAGAACATCATGAGATTTTATAGAATTAAATTGGCCATACTCCAGACAACAAGAAAACGCTAAAATTGTATTGGTAAAGCTTTAGAGGTCATAAAGAAGTCTGGAATTATATTGGGCATACATCAGACATCGCGAAAAACTCTAAAATTGTATAGGTAAGACGTCAGACATCATAAAGAAGTCTTTAATTGCACTGGTAACAGTCTAGAATACCAAGAGATTGTCTGGAATTAAATTGGCTGGACTCCAGACAATAAGAAAACTCTAATATTGTACTAGTCAGACTTTAGACATCATAAAGAAGTCTGGAAATATACTGGGCAGAGTTTAGAACATCATNAAGAGATTGTCTGGAATTAAATTGGCTGGACTCCAGACAATAAGAAAACTCTAATATTGTACTAGTCAGACTTTAGACATCATAAAGAAGTCTGGAAATATACTGGGCAGAGTTTAGAACATCATGAGATTTTATAGAATTAAATTGGCCATACTCCAGATAACAAGAAAACGGTAAAATTGTACTGGTAAAGCTTTAGAGATCATAAAGAAGTCTGGAATTATATTGGACATACATCAGACATTGCGAAAAACTCTAAAATTGTATAGGTGAGACGTCAGACATCATAAAGAAGTCTTTAATTGTACTGGTAACAGTCTAGAATACCAAGAGATTGTCTGGAATTAAATTGGCTGGACTCCAGACAACGAGAAAACTCTAATAATTTTAACTTTGTGGGCGTTATATGTGCTAGAATGTGTACTTTTTGTAAAAACTTATTATAGTGATTTCTTTTTAAGATACGAAATGATTCATTCACACCAAACGAAAGGAATAGAGAAAGTACCTTTTGTGCCGCCATACACTAATAGCGCAAGGTTGCAGAATAGTGTTCTTTTTTCTTGCATCCGAATTTATAACAACTTGGATATTAGTGTTAAGAAACTACCATTATACCAATTGAAAAGGAAACTCAAGGGGTACTTGCTTGAGAAAACATTGTATAACTTAGATGATTTTTTTAAAGAGAAAGTAGTATTGTGATTTTGACTGAATTATTGTATTTAACTTGTTCGACACCTTTTGGTATTATGTGAATTAATAAAAGATTATTATTATTATTAATATCGTACTAGTCAGACTTTAGAAATCATAAAGAAGTCTGAAATTATACTGGGCAGAGTCTAGAACATCATGAAATGTTCTAGAATTAAATTAGCCATACCCCAAACAACAAGAAACCGCTAAATTGTACTGGTGAAGCTTTACAGATCATAAAGACGTCTGGAATTATACTGAGCAGTTTAGAACATCATGAGATTTTCTAGAATTAAATTGGCTATAGTCCTGATAACAAGAAAACGCAAAAATTGTACTGGTCAGATTTTAGAGATCATAAAGAAGTCTGGAATTATATTGGGCAGACATCAGACATCGCGAAAAACTCTAAAATTGTAGAGGTGAGACGTCAGACATCATAAGGAAGTCTTTAATTGTACTGGTAACGGTCTAGAATACCAAGAGAATGTCTAGAATTAAATTGGCTGGACTCCAAACAATGAGAAAACTCTAATATTGTACAAGTCAGACTTTAGACATCATAAAGAAGTCTGGAATTATACTGGGCAGACATCAGACACCACGAAAAACTCTAAAATTGTACAGGTGAGACGTCAGACATCATAAAAAAGTGTGGAATTGTATTGGTCACAGTCTAGAATACCAAGAGATATTTTGGAATGAAATTGGCTGGACTCCAAAGAACAAGAAAACTCTAATATTGTACTGGTCAGACTTTAGTCATCATAAAGACGTCTGGAATTATACTGATAAGACATTAGACATCATAAAAAAGTCTGGAATTGTACTGGTCAGACATTAGACATCATAAAAACCCATCTTAAGAGACCTACATGTTAGTTTTAGTTTAGCTAAATTCTAGTTTTAATTAAAAAAAAATTGATTATTACATCTCCATTTTTCTCTTTAATTTCTTGATATAAATTTTTATAACGAAAATCCCATTGCAACGCATTTTGATCATTTCCATTATACAACTCTGGATGTTCCATGAGTAAATCTTGAGCAAGAACATTATATGATATTATGGTAAAAACAACACCAGATTCAGTTTTATTTTGGCGATAATACAATTTTCCAAAATTGGTTAAATCCCAACGACGCATTCCTGTTTGTAAAAAAATAATAAATAAATTTATCGATTACAAAACCTTAGAAGTTTTACCTAAAATTGAATTAGATCTAGCAGAAGATCTAGATCCACTTCCTTTTGCAGAGCTACTCCCTCTTGATTCCACACTATTACGATAATGAACATTACTATTTTGATGATCCAAAACGGAAGAGGTAGAGAAGGATCTTTGGAAGGCGATCGCAGCTGGATAATTATTATAAGGAAACAATACGTTTTGATGTAAATATCCACCAAAAAGTAATTGTTGGTGTACACTGGGGCAATGGAAGTTGGTGGCAACACTTTCTAAAAATGCCGTACCATAACTGGTACTTGCAACGATGTTAGAGTGATTTGAACCTGTTGCATAGACAGGAATGTTTTTATTAATACTTTCCTTATTGTCGTTGTTTCCACGTTGCCGATTGATGCTGTTGGATCGTTGTTTATTATTGTGAATAGGGCAAGGAGTGCTAGAAATCCCATCATCGTGGCAAGCGCAATTTGAGCCTGCTTTTGAAAAAACTTTTTTTGAATCCATTTCGTAAACTAAAGGCCGATCTTCTTTAACAACGACAACGCATGCTGATAATGATCTTTTACTATTATCCAACTTTACAAGGTTAACCGAGTCATCGCAATTGGATACGAAATTAATGCCATTACTATTATTAAACGATGATAAAAAACGAATAGATCTGCTCCTACATATCAGCATTCCATATATATTATCAACTTTGCAAACTTACGTTTAGCATTATTGTGAAGATTTTTGGTTAATTTCAGAAATTTTAAACATGTACTGTCAAAATTTTGTTACACCATCTTTAAATATGTAACTAACTTCACGTTGATATAACCTATAACAAAAAAAATTTAATAAAAATTGAAATATTAAAAGAAATGTTTTAAAATTAATTATATAACAAATATTATCTTAAATAAATTATTATTTTTTTATATATTCAATAAATAACCAAATTCACATTGTATGATTAAAAAATAATCATATAAGCGCCCTCTATAATAATTTAAACATGTACTGTCAAAATTTTGTTACCTTCTTTAATTATGTAACTAACTTCACGTTGATATAACCTATAACAAAAAAAAATTAATAAAAATTGAAATATTAAAAGAAACATTTTAAAATTAATTATATAAGAAATATTGTCTTAAATAAATTATCATCTTTTTATATATTCAATAAATAACCAACTTCACATTGTACGATTAAAAAATAATCATATAAGCGCCCTCTATAATAATAAACGTCAAAGTCGTTTGTTATTCTTGATTTTGTCAATTTTAAAGCTCTTTTCCAACTAAAAATAAACGATGGC